TGAGTTTATTCCTCACAAACCCCTGAAGTACATTTTTAGCAAAAATTTTCTTTCAACAGAAGAAAATCAAATCCAGAAGGAAGGAATGAACTTTAAACGGCAAAGAAGTTAGTATGTTGGTTTCTTTATATAAGTTATAAATGATGATAGTGGCTAGTAGTCTTGAAAAACAAGTTGAAATTAAAATAGTAGGTAGTAACATGGAAGATGAAAGAGGTCATTCTAAGATCCTTTATTTTCAAGAGGGGAACATAAATATTGATTAACTCATATATGAAAAATTTAAGCATAACTGCTAAAAGAATAAAAATAATAAACTAACACTTCTAAACCAGTAGAGGGAAGAAAAAGGTATTAAAGCTATCAATCCAACAGAAACAGGAATGAAGGAAAAGAAAACATAAGAAATAGAAAGTACAAAATAAGTGTGTCTGTCTATTAACCTATCTGTGTTTATGAGTGATGGCAAAACAGATTTAACTTATATCTTAATCACTATAAGGTTATCTTTATTTTATTTAACCATGTACCACTAATAAAATACACTTAAAATAATAACAAGTTTAAAAGCCCTACTCTGCCTTATGGATTTATCATTGAAAATATCAGGGTGAGTCCTACCCAGCGTGGCTCAGTTGGTTAGAGCATTGTCCAGTGCACCAAAGGGTCACAGGTTTGATTCCCAGTCAGGGCACATACCCAAGTTGCGGGTTCAATCCCTGGTGGGGGTGCATACTAGAGGCAACCATTTGATATTTTTCTCTCAAATTGATGTTCTTTCTCTCACTCTCCCTTCATCTGTCTCTAGAATCAATGAAAAATATATTCTCGGGTGAGGATTTAAAAAGAAAGGAAAACATCAGGGTGAGAGGTAGCATTGAAAATGACTATGGTTTCTTGCCTAAGAAACTGAGGATACCATTAGTTAAGGATGATAGAGGGGCAAGACCCACCTTGGAAGTGAAAAGAAGTTAACATTTATTGACTTCTTCCTAAGTCTTAATAGGGGGTTGCAAAAGAAATTAGGAAGAAGCATTGGAGAGAACTTGTGCCATGTGTCACGGAAGTCCAGACACAGGAAGAGAACTTAAAGTGTGTGGTGACATGGCAGCTCCAAAGAGGAGAATTCAGGAAGAAAGGATAGGCGACTTCAAAGATAAAGAAGATGATCAGCAGTATCTGTATGGAGAAAGGGTGAGAGCAGAATGAGTACTGAGAAGAAGCCTTTAGGTCAGGCTTTAAGAGAACAGACTAATTGAGTATTGTACCTACTGGTAAGAGATTAAGGCAAAAAATGTGAAGAAATCAAGGAAGCAGGAATGGATTTCTCTCAATAAGTTTAACACTGAAGGGAAGACAATGGATGGTAAGAGAAATGCAGGCTCAAGGGAAATTATCTTGGAATAGGCAACAACCACTTTTAAGAATAAAACTTTAGCCCGGCCAGTGTGGTTGAGAGTAAACCCATGAACCAGGAGGTCACAGTTCAATTCCAGGTCAGGGCACGTGGCCAGGTTTCAGGTTCAATCCCCGGTGGGGGGCGCAGGAGACATCTGATCAATGATTCTCTCTCATCATTGATGTTTCTATCTCCCCCTTTCCCTTTCTCTCTCAAATGAATAAAAACATTTAAAAAAAACAATAAAACTTTTAATTATCTAGAGCCTTCAGAGAAATGAATTTCCTATGTAACCATCTTTTTGAGGTTACCTAATGCTGCATTTTAAAATACCAAAGCTAAAAATAATAATAATAAAATACCAAAGCTAACCCTGGCCAGCGTTGCACAGTGATTAGAGCATTGGCATGCAGAGGGTTGCAGGTTCAAGCCTGGCCCCAGTCAGAGCATGTATGGGAGGCAACCAGTCAATGTGTCTCTTTCACATGGATGTTTCTCTCTCCCTCCCTACTCCCTCCCTTCTACTCTAAAAAAATCAATGGAAAAAATATTCTCATTCCTCAGGTTAAGGATTTAAAAAAATAAAAAAATAAAATACCAAAGCTAATTTTGACCATTTTTACAATACCCAAAGTCACTAGCAATATCACGGTGGTCTATTGCCTTTAACTATGAGTGATACTCTTTCATGACTTAAATAAAACCAGTTGGACATTGTTTAACCTTGACCTCAGTCATTGTCCCTTGAATACAGGACCTGTTGAGGCCTGTAGGACTATTTGCCTCTACACTAGCCACAGGAGCTATCTTGAATTCTTTTATTTTTTTTATATATCTTTGACTATCTTTCTTTTACTGTCAGTGATCTTTTCCCATAATTTGCCATAATTTTCTATGTCTAGTCTGCTCATAAGCTGGATTAAGGTGTGCTCAACCCTGACAGATGAATCTACTCAGTATATTAATTTAGCCAAGTTTCTGAATTTGAAAGGCTAATCACCAGGATAATAAACATCACCCTTATATTTATAGTAGCCTTTCCGTATGTGGTTAAATCTCAGATGTACGATTTAATACAAAACCAAGAGTAACCAAGAGCATCTGAGAAACTCTACTTAATATAATATATGAGCTTTAGTATGTAAATTTAGGGACATTTATTTGTCTCTAGCCAAAGACCTCTTTGGAGGACTGTTTATTTCCTGATCTCAACAGAAGAACCGGAAGAGAGGGCTACCTAGCCCTCAGGTGGGACAGAGATTTCTGCCTCTAAGCCGATAATTCTCTCAATACTAATAGAAAAAGGAGTATCTCTCCTTCCCACTTAACACCCATCCTCCAGAAGAAAAAGCATTTGTTGTGTGTGAACTAAAATAGCCTCTGCTTTGTCACCTTCTGTCTGCTACCTGTGCTGTATAAGTAAACTTGAGTTTTATAGACTCTACAACCTGGAATCTTAACAATATTGAGATCTTTCCCTACAGACCTTGGTCTTAAACAATGAAACCGTGAGGCTAGATGCAGATCTCTTTTAACATGAGAATTGATGAATTCATAAAGGGTTTTAACAGAAGAAATGGAGAGTTTCTGGTTTTCTAATTCCTTAACTCACAATTCTGAAAGCAAGGCAAAGACATTCCAAGGAGGGAAAGGCCACTGGTAATATCAGCATGTCTCTTATTAAAGGTCCAGGGGCTGGCTTCTAAGAGGCCTTCCTTATAGGATGGCATTTATTATCTTGGTGATTTGCCAGAGACTAGCTTTTAGCTTTTCAGGTTCAGAAACTAGTTTAATCAACATACAAAGAACAGATTCATTATCAGAACTCAGCTCACCTCAACCAAACTTACAAGATTGATCTGCAAACCAAAATGCCAGTTGACATTTATATGGAAAAATATAACTGACTGATATTCTAAAACTCTAAGTGATTAGCTTAGTCTTTCCCTGTAGGCAGGCCTGTACAGGGAGGCGGATCATAAACAGGTTATTGGTGAACATGAAATCAGAATAAAGGTGAATCATGTTTAATGTCATAGGCTAAGAGAGTAATCCATCCACAATAAATACGGTCCTACTGATGAAACTAAATTTCTTTGAAATCTGCCAGCAAAGACACTCTGCCCTAATCAGTATTTCTTTAGGCATCTGCCAATGTTTTGTCTCAGGTTTTTTGCCTCGAGGCTTACCTATGCCCACACCCACCCAAATCACCTCCCACATTTGTCTTTCACTGCGTGTTAATACTTTCCATCAGCTTATATTAGTTATTCTTTTTTCTTTTTCTTAAATATGTTTTTATTGACTTCAGAGAGAAAGGGGGGAGGGGGAGGGGGGAAAAGGGGGAAAGAAACATCAATGATGAGAGAATCATTGATTGGCTACCTCCCACACTTCCCACACTGGGGATCAAGCCTGCAAACTGGGCATATGCCCTGACCGGGAATTGAACCATACCTCCTGAGTCATGCCAGCCGGGCCATTTATTCTTTTTTCTTAAGTTTAGAGTTTAAATCTCAGTGAACAATCTTATTGTCAAGTTTTTGGAGCATACCTCACTGTACTTACATTGGTCAAGAGGAGAGTGTAGCATAGATAAGGGTGGGTGGAACAGCTCACGCAGATCAGGATTTACCAGTCATTTACCAATAAAACCTTCCCATTTTTACTATTTCTATGCTACATGTGTATCATTAATATTTTTCTTTAAATCAACTCACTTTTAAAAAGCAAATTTTACCACCACCATAAATGGAAAATGACTATCCTTTGTCCTAAAAGGAGCATGGTCCTAAAAATAAGCATAACTGAAAGTAAAAGGTCTTATTTTTCCCGTGTACTTTTTTAGCTAGACACTGTTTGCCATGGAAAACCCTGAGCCTGAGCAAGTCCGTGCACCAAACTTTGACTCTGTCTTTATCATCATCATAAACCTCAAAAGAGGACTGAATAACAGATTAATTTTGGTTATTTAATGTACCTAGTGTCTTGTCCAACTACCATCTAAAAAATCCTATATAATAAAACCCTAATATGCAAATCGAACGGCGGAACAACCAGTCACTATGATGCGCACTGACCACCAGGGGGCAGGTGCTCAATGCAGGAGCTGCCCCCTGGTGGTCAGTGCACTCCCACAAGGGGAGCGTCGCTCAGCCAGAAGCCGGACTCACGACTGGCAAGCGCAGCGGCAGTGGCAGGAGCCTCTCCCGCCTCCACTGCAGGTGGGCGGTAAGGAGCGAGGGGTCCTGGACTGAGAGAGCCCCAGACTGCGAGAGGGATGTCTGACTGCTGGCTTAGGCCCGATCCGGCAGGCTGACATCCCCTGAGGGGTCCCGGACTATAAGAAGCTGCAGGCCCAGCTGAGGGAACACACACACACACACACACACACACACACACACACAGTACGAATTTCATGCACTGGGCCTCTAGTAATTTATATTAGGCATCCCACATGTGGAAAAAGGTCTTTTGAGACTTTAAGAGTATCCAAAAACTGTTTATGTACCTATAGTGATACCTTCTTTCTAGCCTTGCCTGACCCCAGCTTTTGTCTGGTGCTGCACTGATGGTCTCGCTCTTGCTCCTCCCTGCACAGGTACACACTGGCAGCTCAGGACCTGGTGATGCGTGCTCGTGGTGTCCTGAAGGACAGAGGATGGCGGATATCTAATGACCGACTGGGCTCAGGAGATGACATTTCTGTATATGTCATTCCTTTAATACATGGAAATAAACTGTCATGAAAACAACTCAGGGGATTGGAAGATCAGAAGGAAGAAAGCTGGGATGCCTCTTGGCAGGGCAGGACTGGGAAGTGCCCCAGCAGAGTTCCAGATGGTGCCACCTCTTCCCAGCCCAGATGGAGAGTTTGCTGCCCAAAGGCCTCTGGCTGTGTTTCAAGAGGATCAATAGGTTTCAGTTACTGCTATAGTTAACAAGTCTGGATACTCAACAAAAGCAAAACCTAAAGGCTGCTACTGAGTGTTGTTTCTTTTGGTTCCTTCAATAGGCCTCCTAAGTGGCCAGTGCCTATTTTGGGCACATAATCATATTTATTTTAACTGGAATGCTGGGGCAGCCATTTTCAGGTGTAACTGGCAGAAGACTCTTCGTCTGTCAAGCTGCCAATTTGTCTACGGGTTGGAACGTTGGGGATCATGCCTCAGAAAGTGTGAGCGCCCACCTTCTACTAAGCCTGAGATTTATTTCAGGGAATGCTATCTATGTGTGTGTCTCTCTCTATTCTTTCATGATGATGATGATGGGGTGAGGTAGGAATTTTTTTTTAATTTCTTGAATCTTAATTGTTTCCATAGAACAGGCCTGGGACTTTCCAACTCCTTGCTGAGGAATTTGTGTGTCCAAGTCCAACCCAGGCTGTCACTGTATCCTGTAACCCACACCACCCAGGCAGACCTCTGGAGCAGTGCCCTGGCTAACAGAGTGCTGTCTTTGTTGTGTAATAATTTGTTTCTAGGTTGATTTTTTTTCCTACTAAATCAGTGTTTTCACGAAATTTGGGGTATTTCTTTGGGCCAGCAGTTCCTCTTTTGTCTTCAAGGGTCTCCCTTGTGTTGTTTGAGGTTTCTGTTGGTTTCTGAATCTGGGTTTTCATTTCTGGAATGATTGCTTCCAGATCCCAACCCATCCTTGCTGTGCCACAAGTACACACATAAAGCAGTGTTTAATAGAGCTGTGTGGGAAGTCCCTTAATGTCAGTCAGTTCACCACACCTCATTTCAGAACCTTTCCTCCACTTTAAATCCAGGTTCCATGGGCTGCAAGGGTTCCCAGGCCCACTCCAAACAATGTGTAAGTATCAGAGTCTGTCAGGGAACAGCAGGCCCTCTCCCCACCATCTTTGGACAAGACCCACTCAGACTGAATTTGATGAAACAGAATTTGAATTGGGTTGACTGGCCATTCACATGCTCCTTCTCCATGGAATCAGGTCCCAACCACCCAACCACTTAGACTACTGTTCCCTCTGAGTGTTCCTCATGGAGCATCCACAGAAGCAGTGGACACATCAGATCTGCCAGGTGCTTCACTGCCTGGAGGAACTGAAAAATTAGCAATCCCTTCTATCTCTTAGACTGCTGCTCTGCATGGGTACCTTGTAGAGCAACATCCCATTACTGAGCCTTCTTCCTGGAGAGCTCCTGTGGTATCACCACCATCTGGACAACTTCTTGTAATTAAAACATTCAATGAAGAAAGAGTCATTGTGGTGGTCCCCCAAAATGCTGGAGAGCCAATTCCAGTTCTCATGTTTTTGAAACCCTCCCCCACAGGAGAGGACAGGACCTTTCCTCCGGGAGAGTTCATCGCCTGCATACCTGGATTTATAGATTTTTTTTAGGAATGGCCTGGAGCCTTCCTATTCTATGTTCATCCCACAGTGTGGAAACAGTGCTCAGCCTGGTGGGTGAAGTACTGTGGGAATTCATCCATCAGGTGGTTGCCAAAATGTTGTCTGGGAAGAACTGGACTACAACCTTATCAGGCGTCCTCTTCATCCCTCCTCCTCCGATAAATCTTAGCTACCCCAATCACTCTGTGGAGAAAAGTTTATGGTAGACAGTTTGCTTCTCTGGCAGAATATTATGCTATGGAAAAACATGCAGGCATCCTACAGCAGTGTGGTCCATTTTCTGTTCCTGCCTTGACTCCCTAACCCACATATAAATTGGAATCTTGAGAGTTTCCCTTGGAGGATTCCAAGTTATCAGCTTTAGGAAGCAGTCACCTCTTTCCTATGTTTCCATTGCCTTTCATTTCTTTTCCCTTTCCTGAGCTTTTATGTACTCCCTATCTTGAACTTCCCAGTTTTAATTGAGCCACAAGAGTCAGAGTGTCGATGCAGACATGTAGATATGACATGTCTTAATTCATCAATTCATTTACTGCCGAGGCATGTCTCGGGAAAAACTCTGGAACTCCCTTATTTAGTGTATCCTAGTCTCGCACATTTAGTCCTTCTGCTTTTAGTTGGGTAACTAGGAATTCTTTTCATAAGCCCCGTTGGGTAAAAAGAGCCCAGTAGCAAGCTGAAGCCATGATTCTATTGGGAGTATGGGAGGAAAACTACAAATGAGGTGAATAAATCAAATGTGGAAAAATTATTTGTTATGCTCATGGAAAAATCTACCCAGTACTAATACCGCTCTGTGCATTGAGCTTACTCGGTTTTAGCTTTATTTTTTACCCAGACCCTACATCATCCCATCCTAGAGCAGTAACGGTGTCTACATAACAGGTAGGCTCCTGGAGCATTCCTGGAAGGGTCTAAAGGCAACACTCAAAATTCTGCAGAATGTATGTATACGTGGTTCTGAAATCTTCCATATCTGAGTTGTAGCCAAATCTGCTTGTCCTCACAGCCTCAGAGGAAGTCTTGTTTTCCTAGTCAAGTCTTTATGGTTGTCTTGGGGTGTGTGCGGCCACTTCCTTTAATGAAAGGCTCTTCCTGTTCTAAATCTTGTTGTTGGGCTGGTCCCTGCTCTTTCAAACATCTGACACTCTCTTCCTTAAAGAGAGCAAATTTACACTTCATCCACACTGCAGCATCTTCCCAGGCAACAGCCAAACCTTTGTTATCTAAACACCTGAAATCAGAGCAGTGCCAGCAGTCAGGAGGAGGGGATGTTCTGCAGTGGTTGTGTTTACATAACTGCTACTCTTGGATAGAGCTGAAAATCGGCTAGGCCAACTACTAATAAGACAAAGCCCCCCACCGCCCTCCCTCAAAGTGGGAATTTCAGTTCTTTTCCACAGTATTCAGCTTTGGGAAATTTAGGGTGCTTAATTTTTTTAATCCTTAGCAATTTACCTCCATGGGACTATGTGAAGTCAGCTGTGCTCACTCTCTTCTTACTCTTCTAAGTATTCATTTATTTTGGGGAGATCTACCGCAGTAGATAGATATTGGCAGGCAGGGATGAGTGTCCTGGTACCCAGATTTGGCCTAGGATCGTGGCCATTCAGGGAGGGTTTTCTGGTTTACCAGGAAGATTAGAAAGAAAACACTTAGAAAAAAATCTCCCAAATCTTTAAAACTCTAATTCTCCTCTTGATCTCACCTCCTTTCGCATCTGCCCGTCAACTTTAATTTACAAGGCCACAAGTGGTCAGTGGTTTTCTTTCCATCACAGTTTGAGGATCTTGCCATTCCTTAAATGACCCAGCAGTTCCACTCTTTTCAGAGTGAATCTATTAAGCTTTTATGAGTTTCTATTTTCAGTAAGTTAGTGCTTCTGGGACACTTGGAGAAAGCAGTGAGAGTCATTGTCTATGCAAAGAACAACCCGGCTGACCCAAAAAGTTACCAGATCTAAGAAAAAAGTAAAAAGCATATAACAGGAACTTGGATTTTTGAGGACTTACAATTGCAGAGAAATTTTGCAGCCTGCACACCATAGCTGAGCAAACTGGTTTTGTGTTGGTGACGGGGATTTTTCAAGACACTACATGAGCAGCCCGATTTGCCTCTTATGTGAGCACCATATCTGAGTGCCAGTCTGAGGAGCACTGCACTTTCCAATTCATGGCATTATCTGTAAATAGCTTTAATTTTTCCTTTGCATCTTAGATGCAGTTTTGTTCATGCAGAGACCAGGTAGACAGTGACCAAATGAGGCTGTACGTGTTATTGTTTTCTGTGATGTACTTGAAGGAGAACCTTGTGTCCTCCACTCTTCTAATCCTCCATAGTATTTGTGTTTGTTTGAGGCGTCCTGAGGTTACTCCTTCCCTCCTGTTTTGCCTCCATTTTCTTTGTTTCTTCTGGAGACCCAGGGAGGCCCACAGTGGAGACCATTTGTAAGGAATGTATCATAAGGTCTGGGTTTCCAGAAACACCCTACGTGCAGTGAATGAGAGGAATATGCCTGAAAATGATTTCAGAACCATGTACCTTTATGCTTTGTGATTGTGAAATCTTGACTTTTGTAACCCAAAAGTGAAAACTGTTTAGTAATGGGGATCTATTTTGTGTGTTTCGAAACTTAGGTGCAATGTTCCCTGGAAAAAGCTAAAGAAATGTATATGCTCAATTATGTTTTAAAATAAAATATTATATATATGTATATAGGACACCATTAGCAAAACTTTTTGTGTCACTTCTTCAATCCACTATGAAGTTCCTTCATATCAGGTAATGGGATGAGGGGAGAGTCTCATGGCCTAATGTGGAATTATCAACTGTGAACATTCAAAAGTAAATCAAAAGGGAACAGGTGCCACCGCTAACAATCCTCACAGGAACAGCAGCAGTAAAGGCTACACATTTCAATAATGCCACCAGAAGAATGACCATGGATATTACTCCCAAGAGGTATTCTTTTTTATTTTATTGGGGTATAATTGACATATAATATTAGTTTCAGGTATAAACATAATGATTTGATATTTGGATATATTGTAATATTGATTCCTGAGGTAGGCATTTATCACTATGAACTTCCCTCTTAGAATTGCTTTTACTGCATATTTTGTATGTTGTATTTCCATTTTCATTTGTATCAAGATACTTTTTATATCTCTTCTGGTTTCTTCAGTAGCATGTTGTTTAATATATTTGAATTTTCCAGTTTTCTTCTTATAATTTATTTCTAGTCTCATAACACTGTGGTCAGAAATATGCTTGATATGATTTTAAATCTTCTTAAATTTGTTAAGTCTTGTTTTGTGTCATGAACAATGTTCCACGTACACTTGAGAATAATGTGTACTCTGTTGCTTTTGGATGGAATGTTCTATATATATCTGGTTAATTCCATCTGGTCTACATATGTCTTTTAAGGCCAATTTTTATATGGGTTTTTCTCTCCTGATGATCTATCCACTGATGTAAGTAGGGTATTAAAGTTCCTTACTATTATAGTTATGTTATCTATTGCTCCCTGTAGGTCTGTTAATATTTACTTTATGTTTTAGGTGCCCCTATGTTTGGTACATAAATATTTACAAATATATGTCCTCTTGTTGGATTGACTTCTTATCCCAAAAGGTATTCTTAAGTGAGAGGGGTAGTAACTAATATTCTCGCCAAAGACAGTAAGAGTCCAAACTTTACTTAGTAACTTAAGCATGTTAAGTACTATAAAATGTTAGTAAAATGTACCATCTTATAAAGGAATCTTAGGTGAGATAAGGCATCAAAGAACGTTAATTCTGTTTAGTTTTAGAGTCTAGGAAGTTAAAAGTAATCTAGAAAATACAATGCAGTGTTAAAAAATAATCAAAATATTGATTCACAAATAAAACTAAAAGTTGGCTACTGCTTATCTGAAGATGAGTTCAAAGGAGCTAACTAGATAGAAAAATACTCATCTTAAGAGTGATTTTGTTGTAAAACCCACAGCTTTTTTCAACTTTACTTGTACCCTAATGCTTATGATGCCTCACTCAGCAGTACAGACTTATGAAAAGAATCAATCCCTGGATTAGATTCCTGAAGATTAGAGGAGTTTTCTAACATTCTCTTATAAGCAAGCTTAGTTTATCAGATTAGCTCTTGAAAGATGTGGTAGATTGTCTCCAAGGTGGCTGCCAACAATGCCTTCTATGTGTGTTCATAAATGTTCCTTTTCCCAGCAAGAAGTGGCATTTGTTTCCCCACCCCTTGAATCTGGTTTGGCCTGTGACTTCCTTTGGTTAATAGAATGCGGACATGACATTTTCAGAATTCCAAGCCTAGATCTCTAGAGGCCTTGTAGTACCTGCTTTCACTCCTGGAAGCCGGCTATCCTGCAAATGTCAGACTAGATTACTGAATGACAAGAGGCCACCAGGGGATAACCAGAGTGCCAAGATACTGGGAGTGAGGCCATCTTTGACCCTCAAGCCTCACTTGAGACACTCCAGGTTGTACCATGAGATAGAAGCCCAGTCAGTTCTAAGCTCTTCAGGACATTCCAGCTGAAGCCACAGACAACACAAGTCATAGGGGAGCCACCCACACAGAGCCCTGCCCAAATTCCAGCCAGACCCACAGAAACATGAACAAATAGAATGGTTTTGTTTTAATATTTGCATAGTTTATTACACAGTAATATATAACTGAAACAGAGAACCTGGCTCTGGGGAATTTGGGGTAAAATGTTTAAAAATATAAATTAAAAAGATAAGAAAATGGCATTGGAAAAGTATGTTTGTAATTTGGGACATAATCCTCCATATGGCACCTGGTAGAGTGACTGAGACAGGAGAAAGAAGCTTAGAATAGCGGTAATGCGGAGACTCTGATGGATGTGCTGGTATCTTAGCAAGAGCTCTCCTCCATACCTATGCTTTTGCCTCATCATGCAGCTTATAATGATCATTAGTAAGTCAGGAAAGCCATGAAAGGGAAAACAAAGACCTTTAACCCCTCACTTATGATGACACCATTACATGTACCATTTATTACCCTTGGGAGAGTCAAGTGGTTCTTTGGCTCCCAGAACTGTTGTTTGAAAGCGTTAGGTTATATCTCAGGGAAAACAAGACAACTTTAAAATTGTGAATATGTATGTGAATATTGTTTAAAAATTCTCATCATTTAAAAATCCCCATCTACAAAATACTTCAAACTTATTGCCATCCCAGTTTTTTCCTTCCAATTAAATGATAGGTCAAAGAGTGAGTTGTATATTCTACAATTAATCTGCCTTTTTAATTGCTTTTTCTGTAATCAGAGTCCTCTAAAGTCTGTTGATCTCCATACATCTCTCTATATTTTTAGTCTCTTGTCTTTCACTTCTGAAGAGACTTTTCCAGCCAGCTAACCTTTGCTTTATTGATTCCACATAGGCTGCCTGCAAGATTCAGAGTGTGACTGAGCACGAGGCGTGGGCAGAGTGCACCTTGACTGTCTTCCAGGGACCAGGTCTGATCAGATTGCTAGTCCAAGGGGACAGAGCTTCTGACTGCAGACCTAGAGTATAGCACTCCTCTGAAAGGAGCATATAAATCGCAGCTTTCTCTTTTACCCTCTTTCTCTTTTACTCTTACTTTACAAATATAATCAGTGGTTTGGAAGGCACTGTTGTGATGTGGGGATGGGGGATGGTTGACATGAGGATGGAAAAATGAAGTTGCAGCAACAAAATGTCCCAAACCAAGTCATTTCACACCCTTTATGCACCACTAATATGAGTAACAAGACATCTCTGATTTAAACTAGAGAATTGTGGAACCTGAAAATAGTCTTAGCAGCTGTAAATTAGCTATCACCTGCCTGTTGAGTTTGGTCAAAGAGACAAAAGTTGGGACGAGATTCTAGAGAACTATAAAATCTCTACTCTCATTGTAAAATTAGAAAAAAAATGCAATTTCTAATTCCTGAAAGCCCTAAACATAAAATTAGGGGATATATGGTCAATCAACCAATTGCACAATAGAATTTGAAGGAAAATTAACATTGTGGTTATTTTCATGGAAAACGTTAAATGCTATCATTATTATATGTATTTTTTGGAATATCACCTACCAGGCCCACCCAAAGATTATTTAATTCTTAGGTTATGGTTCAACAAATACTAGGCTTTATGGGCCACTTGGACTCTGTCACAACTACTCAACTCTGCTTTGTTGCATGAAACAAGCCATAGACCAGGGGTTCTCAACCTGTGGGTCAAGACCCCTTTGGTGGTCGAACAACCCTTTCACAGGGTTCGCCTTAGACCATCCTGCATATCAGATATTTACATTACGATTCATAACAGTAGCAACATTACAGTTATAAAGTAGCAACAAAAATAATTTTATGGTTGGGTCACAACATGAGGAACTGTATTTAAAGGGCCAGAAGGTTGAAAACCACTGCCATAGAGGTAGGATCTGTCCAAAAACGTCAAAAGTCAAGCTTACATCTTGATCAGAAAAATTAACTCATGAAAATATGGCCTGATCTTGCCTGTCTGGGGTAAAATGAATAAGAAAATCAGACATATTAATGAACACTAATGGCCTATGATAAGAAAAAAAACAGGATCAGTAATCATTTATCTTGCTGTATTGAGTTATATAAATAGGATAATTTCTAAATTTGCCAGTTCATTATTACAAATACAGTCTAAAAGCCTCTAATCACAATGGTAGTTGATGCATCAGGGTTGTAATATGGATTTACTCACTACTGAGACACTATCAGTTATATAATCTGCTACTAATTCAAAACTTAACCTCCTTCTTAAACATGAGTTAAAAATTTTAACCCATCACTTACCACACTTCAGCAAGGAGGGTGGAAAACATTTATTATATTACTATTAGTTCATATGCTGAGTACTTGAAATATGGGTTCTCTTATACCCTTCTCAGGTAAATAGTATCACAATTTACAAATTAAAAAAATAATTTTATTCCATTGTGATTGGAGAATATACTTTTTGTGATTTTTTTTTAATTTTTCAATTACAGTTGACCACA